TCAACCCCGCCTCAGCCCCTACAAACCCCACCCCAGTCTCTATAAAAGACTCTCCCTGCCCCGGCCATGTTGCTTTTGTCTCTCCTTTGTTCAGAGACAGCTCAGCAGATCTGTTCCCCTAATAAAGGCTTGTTGTGGCCTGGTCTGGTCTTGGTCTTCGGCCCTTTTACCTGACAGAACCCTCCGGCCTCCGCCAGCCAAGAGGGCTGCCCAGGCATGCACCAGAATGGCCGCTTTCTGTGTGTTTAATAGGAAAACATTTACTGGTACATTTTAGGCATACATAATGGTATCACTCATTGTAGGGCCGGCCAGGGATGTAGCTCAGTGGCATGGGCCCTGCCTCGCAACCAACCACAAGGTCTTGAATTCAATCCTCAGTACCGGGAAAAAAAAAATTACAAAACACAAACCCACACATTGTAGGCAATTTGCACCTATACATGATACATCCCGCCTCTTTTTTCCCACTCCCCTCCCCTCCCCTCCCGTGTACAGAAGCTTTGTTTCCATTTTTCCTCCTATGTTCACTTTTTATCTTGTCCTTTCCTTCTTTCTCCCTCCCTCTCCCTTGTTCCCCTTCCCATCTGAACATTTTCTTCCCATTCCCAACATCTATTACACATTTTAGTCCTTATTTCCACTCACACCACAGAAACAATGTGGTATTTAAACATGATATTTAAACTCTTATTTAAGAGTATGGTCTCAGGTGCATCTACTGAGCTATAAATGTCTGAACCTCATCCTTCTCTATGGATGACCACATCTTTATCTGTTAGTTGGCTGATGGGCACTTGGGCTGTTTCCAAGCTCTGGCTATTACAAACTGTCCCTCTACAAACATGAGTGCACATTATCGCTGTGCTATGATGCTTTTAATTCTTTCAAGAAGGTACTAAGAAGGGGAAATGGCTGGGTCCAATGGGACTTCTAACTTTAATTTTTTGAGGAATCTCCACACTGATTTCCACAGTGGTTGCACCAGCCTGCACTCCCACCAACAATGGAGAAGGATTCCTTTCTCCCCACAGCCCCACCAGCATTTGTGATTGGTTGATTTCTTGATAGCAGCCATTCTTTCTGGAGCAACACATAGTTTTTAACATAACTTTATTTTGGCTTTAAAGATATTTACCAATAAATATCATGTAGCTTGTATATAGCTTCTACTTATTTAGAAATCCACTGTCTCATCATTTTATCCCACTACTATTGCAAAATTAAGATTACTGCTTTTTGTGGGTTTGTTCGGCAGTGCTAGGGATCTAACCCGGAGCCTTACACATGGTAGGCAAGCACTCTACCACTGAGCTACATCCCCAGCCTCTTCTCAACTTTGTTTTTCCTCGTGAAAGGAAAAATCTCATATAACACAGAGTGAGCATCCCTAATTTGAAAACCCAAAATCCAAAATGCTCCAAGATCTGCTAAAATTTTGAGTGCTAAAATGACATTCAACAGTTAAACAGGTTTTCGAATTTGGGAGCATTTCTGATTTCAAATTTCTACATGCTCAACTGGTAAAGTCTATGGAAATATTCCAAACGCTGCAACACTTCTGGTCCTAAACATTCTGAATAGAAACGCTCAACCTGTAGCAATCACTGCAAAGGAAGTAAGCTGATCTATGTCTTCCTGTGAACTTTTTCCCCTTCTTCTGGTACTTCTTCCAGAGACAGCTCCCTGGCTCTATTCAAATAAGACAGCAATCTGCCACAGTGGAAAGACCACTAGCCCAGGGTACAGGATGACTGGGTTCTGTTTAAAGTTTTGCAGCTTACTAGCTGTATTGTCTTTTCTTGTCTTTTTTTTTTTTGGCAAGACTTGGGATTGAACCCAGGTTGTTGTACTGAGCTTCATCTCCAACTCATTTTAGTTTTTATACTGAGACAGGGTTTCCCTAAGTTACCCAGGTTGGACTCAAACTCTTTAATTCTTTAATCCTAAAAGGTCTTTTTTAAGACAGGGTCTCGCTATGTGGTTCAAGCTGGCTTTGAACTCACTATGTATTTAGGCTGGCCTGGAACTCACTGCGATCCTCCTGCCGCAGCCTCCCAGAGTGCTAGGATTACCAGCCTTTGGTCAGTCTTTTCTAAAACAATATTCTTACAGAGAGCTCTTTGAATTTTTTAAAAGTCATTAAATTTGTGAAAATGTGTGAAAGCGTGTGACCTGTGTGAATGTGACCAGCGGAGAGTCACTGCCCCTGCGGGAAGACCAAAGGAAGAGGACGGGACGGCGAAGCAGACGCTTACTTGCGATGCGGCCAGTGTCTCCAGGTGGTGCAGCCTCTGCAGCACGTTCTGCATGTCCTCCTGCAGCCGCATGAGCACCAGTGCAATCTGCTCGCTGAGGTGGCCTCGAGGGGCCCTGTCCGAGCCCCAGCGCTCGCCGTCGCCTCCGCTCCCCGCTTGTCGGCCCCTGCTCCCCTCACTCAGATGCGGCACCCTGTGCCCTATTTGAAGAGAGAGAAATGTCAGTTTTATTCATGTGCTTTATTCATTTCCTGTTACCTCTTTGAGATCTAATCTCCAATGTAGAGTAGAAGCTACCAGGAAGTATATAAAATAAACTTTTAGCCTATAATCTCAGCACTGGAGAGGCTGAGGCAGGAAGATTGCCTGTTTAAACTATTTACCCAAGGCCAGTTTAAACTACATAGCGAGACCCTGTCTCAAAAAAAAAAAACCTTTTAGGATTAAAGAATTATATAATCTTCCATGTATACTGATGTATTCTTAAAATTTTTTGATAAGATTTCATACACAACATGCTAGTACATGACTTTATGCATATAATTCACAAATTATATATATATATATATATTTTCACAGTGTATGTTAAAAATTTCTTTATAAAAAGGTAACAGTGCCAGGGGCGGTAGGGCATGCTTGTAATCCCAGCACTTGGAAGGCTGAGACAGAGG